AAGATGACTGGTAAGGGGATCCCAACCCTTGACTTGGTGTTGTCAGCACCACACTCTCCCATGTGAGCCAACCGGCCATCCCTATATAGGGATCCGAACACTTGGCCTTGGTGTTATCAGCACCACACTCTCCCAAGTGAGCCACGGGCCGGCCCATGGCACCACTATTTAAAGGCATCTTCTCCAGGGTGACTTAAGCAGAACTAACTCTTGATTGAACCCCCGCATTCACTCCCTACCAGGCTTTACAGCCCCACCTGTTTCTTTCAAGAGTGGAAGCCTCCTGGGTTACACCTGGTTGGGAGAGAAAGGGAAGTCCACCCATGCACAATTGAGACAAACCAACCAGCAATTCTAAAGGGGAGCTGTGTTTGTAAGCTGACTCGAAAAGTTTTGAGTTCTATGCATTGGGCAGAACAGGAGAGGATATGTTTTATGGTAAACTGGGTGATAGGTGCCTAGGGGGTGCAGTAGATCAGCTGTTGCCAATCCCCATCCCTGCCCTCCTCTTTTGATCAACCCCTAGAATGGCTCACCGGCAACTCTCCACAAGCTGGCACACTGGCCCAACCCACAGAGGAGAGTGGCTTATTATTAAGGTTTCTTTGCGGCAGACTTGGGCCCCGTCCCTCTTGTGTGCTGAGCCCACTGCCCTGTCATATGCTTGGACACCTGAGCACTCTGGCTCCTAACGGCTGCCCAGCTTACCTCGCCAGCTCTTTGTGAATGCCTTATCTCTAACTGTGTGCTGGCCTTACCTGCTGCCTTGCCTTGAATCTGACTCCTATGCAGTCTCTGCCTTAAACACCAAATCCCTGCCCATGTGGCAGCTATTTATATTTGCCCTTACTACCCAGACATCTCCTTGAGTGCTTGCATTCCCAAATGGGCCCTTCCTCTTCCCTCACCTATATTATAACCATTGGGATATTAATACTAACCCCCTTTCCCAAGGAAGCAGACACTATGTAGATGAGTTGCTAGCATTATTCATAATAGCCAAACGGAGTTAACAATCCAAATATCCATCAACAGATAAATGGATAAACTTTATGTGGTACATGCATACAATGCAATATTATTCAGCCTTAAGAAGGAAGGAAATTCTGACACACACTACAACATGGCTGAACCTTGAAGACATTATGGTAATTGAAATAAGCCAGACCCAAAAGGACAATCCTGTATGATTCCACTTTATATGAAGTACATAGAGTAGTGAAACTCACAGAGACAGAAAGTAGGATGGTGGTTACCAGGGGCTGGGGAGGGAGAAATGAGGAGTTAGTGCTTAATGGGTACAG